AAATCGCAAAAGAATCATCTTACAGATCACAAGGGAATTGCGTATGGAAATCTTGGTATCTCTTATACAAGTCTCGAAAATTTTATAAAGGCAGCAGACTGCCTGGAACGCCAACGAAATTGCGAAAACAGTGGGAACAGATCACAAGAGGAATCGCGTATGGGAATCTTGGCATCTCATATGCAAGTCGTGGAGATTTTAAAATGGCCATAGACTTCTTCGAAAGTCAACTTGAAATCGCGAGAGAATTGGAAAACAAGTCACAAGCGGGATGTGCGTACCGTAATCTTGGCATTTCCTATGCAAGTCTTGGTAATTTCAAAATGGCCGAAGACTGCCATGAACGTCTACTCGAAATTGCGAAAAACCTCTCAAAGGGGTCACACCTGTTGCGCTCGCTTAGAAATCTTGGCTCCTCCTATGTAAAGGAAAAGGCTGTAGACCTCCTTGAACGTGAACTAGAGACTGTGTTAAATTTGAGAGACATGGCTCAAGAAGGAAGCGTGTATAGGTGTCTTGGAAACGTCTATCACAATCATGGGTTTTTCGAAAATCTATAGATTATCATGTGCGCCGTAAACAAGTAGCGAAAAAAAATGGGAAACAGATCAGAGGAAAGTAGTTCCTACGAAAGTCTTAGCAACGCCTATCTAAGTCTCGAGGATTTTGATAAGTCCATCCTTTTACTTTAATCTTCAATTACTAATCGCGAAAATTTAGGAGACAGGTTGCAAGAAGGAGGCGCAAATGGAAATCTTGGAAAGGCTTTTTACGGTGTCGGAATTTTTCAGAGAGCTTAAGCCACTTTGATCAGCAACTGACTATTGCGAAAGGAGTTGGGCATAAGTGGCAAGAGGAAGTGCGAATGAAAATCTTGGCAACGTCAATTTTTGTCTTGAGAATTTAGAAAGGCCATATACCACTTTGAATGCCAGCAAAAAAGTCAAAATGCAATTTGGAAAAAGTCCCAAGAGGAGTTCGTACGAGAACCTTTGCCGACACACATCGAAGTCTCGGAAATTTCAGAACAACCATAGACTACTGTGAACGCCACTTAAAGGCTACAACTGAACTTAAAGGTAGGTCGCTTGAAAGACGTCACGAGAATAGTCGATTAGCTACGCAAGGTTAATAAGGTTAATCTTGAGTTAATGACAAAACCTAGCATACTAGGTAAAGCGAATTGTGGTGGTATTAGAGTCCGCATGAGCAAGAGATATTGTCTGAAAATCTGGGATCAATTTAATGAAACTCTACAAGGGTAATGTACAAATGTAGCTATTGTTTTCAGACTCTAAAACAATGGCTACACTTGTTGACCCCTGATGTCTTCAGAAGTAAAGTTGAGTTCATGTTTACGACAGGGAACGAAACTGAAGAGAAAGGGATAAGTAATGATCCTTGCAGTTGAACGCAGTTTATGCAATTGCGTAGAAGATCATTCCTCTTTTGATTTCATTTCCGCAGTTCTTACATATGATTTATTTCATATACATTTGTCACATTCATCTCTTTCACGGGAAGAGTTCAACACATAACTGACCAGCTCGCAACATCAGTGGTTTCATAGCTTAGTTGGTTAGACCATCGCACCGGTATCGCGAGGTCACGACGGGCTCAAAGCCCGTTGAAGTCCTGAATTTTTTTAAGGTTTTTACGCAATTGTATAAATTGCGTCCACAACTGCGAGAATCATTCTTCATTTGATTTCATTTCCGCAGTTCTTATATGATTTATTTCATATACATTTGTCACATTCATCTCTTTCTCGGGAACATATGAAAACATAATTGACCAGCTCCCTGCATAAGTGGCTTCATAGTTGAGTTTAAAAGAGCATCCACCGTTATCGCGAGGTCACGGGTTCAAATCCAGTAGAAGTCCTGATTTTTTTTTCAGGCTTCTTACGCAATTGCATATATTACTTGCACAACTGCGAGGATCATTCTTCATTTGATAAGCCAGTGTTTCTAGTGTTTGTAAAGCGAGGTTGACAACGGATAGACGAGAGTTGGTGACTTGGGTTACAGAAAAGTGTCCGATGTCCGTATTAACCTCAGCCGTATAAAAAATGTTAATATAGTAAATATATTGAGCTTTTCGCGGGGACAAACGAACCGTCCGTCAAATACGGGTGTCCGTATTTAGCGTCAGTGTCCTGATTCACCCTTTTACAAATGGTAAACAAATTATACTTTGAATATGAACTCACAATTGACCTGCCCTCCAACAGCTAAGTGAGTTTGTTTTATTTTTGTGTTTTTACAACAAGGTGACCTCAAGGCGGCAAACATCGAAGACGTCATTACCAGTGAAGGAGGTATAGTGGCTGGAAAGAATGTCAGGTTGGTTTGCCCCACTGGAGCTGTTGACGATTCCTTGTCTGTAAAGATAACATTAGAGGATCCGTCAAATTACTATTGTATGATCGCCTCAAAGGATCTTGAAAATGATGTCATGATAGCTGCACCAATCGTAAATCTTCAGCCCAATGGCCATTTCTTTAAGAAACCCCTTACGTTGACAACTGCACTCAAAATCAAGCGTTTCAAGAGAGACGATGTTTTCATTTTGCATGGCGCAGAGGCTAGAGATGGAAAGATCACATGGCAAGACGTCACTCGAAACTCAAAGATCAATCAGGCAACCGCAGAAGTAGTCATTGAATTGGAGCATTTCTCACTTATTTTGGTTCTGTTACGTTGGACGTTGATCTGCGCTAAAGACATTCTGTCCAGGTTCGATTTACTGTCGTTTAAGTATACGTTAGTCGTGTTGTTGAACAAGAACATTCCCTCTTCAGTCCACGATGTGCTTGCTCTACTGTTCGTGAGCCAAGACCTCTGTCATGAACAATTCTACAGAGAGAACGAGACCTCAGCCCTAGTACAGCTCAAGAAGGAAGGTTTTGTGGAGGTCCACTTGCGTTCCGCTGACGGATTCGATGAAAAGCGAATCTACAACCATGAAAACCTTCAAGTGAGCATTCAACTCGGGGAAGACTACAAGCTAGCTGACTGCCAGGACAGAATAATTAGTTTCAGTGTAGATTCTTCTGTTTGGTGGAGTGGAGGAAAGGTAATCAAACTTCCTCTGGAATGGAAAAGCGAAGTGCGATGTCTGTGTGGGACAATCAGTGTACAAGGAGAAAATGGGCATGAGAGCAAGAGGCATTTTAGCGAAGGAGGTAAATGTGTGTAGCTATAGCATACTCAACCTAGAATTATGCCCATGGTGTCATCGATCAGGTCCACGACAGTGGTATGTCTTTTCTGCAACGCTATTCAGACCGGGGAGTTGGACTTTTGAAGCCCTCCTTACTAAAAACTTTACAAATCGAATAGCTTAAAAACCGTTCGAGCTATAACCGCTGTATAACTTTGGTGGCCGTATCATGAGCGGTTTTGAAGTTACTGTTAGGGAGGGTCTCCGAAGTTTCCCGTGGTCACAGGAAGCAAAAATAAAAAAGCCAGTCTGGGTAGAGTTAAACTAAGGGCGCTTACTATTTGTCAGAACTGGCCGGCCAGACCATTCCTAAATGAATAAGAATTTCAATGTCCGGGCAGACAATTCCTAGATAATATGCATTCAGTTGATGGATTTTGAAGCGAAAACCCTTTAAAAAAGCCTATTTCAGTTTGGTTAACGCCCTAAAGTTTGGCCATTTGTTGATGACTGATGTAGTCTGGTTTTTGTCATTGCTACAACATCAACCTTAAACACATAGAGTGAAAGAATGGTGAATTTGGGTGTGTGTGTGTCTGGAGGGGGGGGGGGAAGGTATTTGTTCAAGACCGCACTCGAGACCTTTTAGGCAGTTTAAAGAAAGCCAGATGTTAAACCAAAAGTAAACTTCTCTCTTTTATTTAGGGCATTTTGTATGGCACATGTGACACCATGCTTGACCACCTAGGCCATATAAGTTCCTGGTTCTGACATGTCATTAGTGTTTTTCTTCATCTTTACTGTGTTAAAGAGGGCCAGATAAGTAAGCCAACTCCGTGAATTTTAGGGCTTTAATACCCGCAAATACAGTACGCACGACACTTTGGTACCTTCCAACCAGTCCCATGAGTAAAACTCACTTTGTTCTTTAGTTTGGTATAAAGAAGTAAATAAAGGCTCCTGAGTTAAAGACCTTTCGTTATAAATGTAACAACATGCATGAATTCGTGTTTCTTCAACAGATCCTTGTAATTATTTAAGAAGGCTACTGGGGTTGGAACAGGACACCGCATTTAACGTCGTAACTATTGCTGAGACTCTTAAGGTTCCTAAAGAGTCAATAAATGAAATGATGAAAAGTTGGAAGGACGACGATGAGCAGTTGAAACTAATTTTACAGCCATGGTCGGAAGAGAGTGCTGACGCAGAAAATCTTTCTTCTTACAGAAGTCTTCTGGAGGGCTTAACTCGCGAAGGTTAGTTGTGCTTCAGGCGGCTTTGTGTCGTTATTATCAGTAATTATGGCGCGATGAATCTTTTAATTTCCTACTCGGCATAAAATTTAAAGCGCGTTATTGTTGAGTGGTAGAGGCATAAGATGTTGAAAACTATTTTTACTCCTAGTTTTTCATCCCAGTCTTTTTCCGCCTTCTTTATTTTCTTCATTTGGCAGAACGTAAAAAAAATATTTATCACCAGTTAAATCGAATTTTTTCGCATTATTACTGCCGATAGCTGTAGGTCCTCTGAAATTTTATTAGACATCGCGTTAAAACCAAAAAAAAGTTATTGGATATAGTATGTCATAATTCAATGCCGCGCCTCAGCCTATAGTAACAACGGAGCTACCTTAAGGTCTCTACCTTCCATAGCGATTAGCCACTTTTACATTCTTTAAACTACTATATATTTTGTTAAAAAAGATGGAACGGTTGGTCGGTATCCGCCTTCGCTGGCTTCACTAAAAAACGTTTTGTGGGTAGGGTAAATGGGTGGGGAAAAGGGTTTACACCGCCTATGCCAAGAAAATCGGAAATGAGCCACTGGCAACGTAAGGAAGTAAACTGACAAAGCTTAACAGCCTTCACAAACGACAGATTACTACCTTATTAGAATTTGACGGTTATTTCGTTTGACGGTTATTTCGTTCGACAGATTACTACCTTATTAGAATTTGACGGTTATTTCGTTTGTTGGGAGAGTGGTTAAGAGAATAATTTATGCTCTGATATTTTTTGTCACCAGAATACAGAGTTACACCAAGGGGCCAGATGCATATCAGCCATCTGAGACAGCTTGCCTTGAAGATAACCGGTTTACAGGGCATCAACACCGATATAGTGAAGAATTTTTCCTGTAAAGCTACAACACTCTGTAAGTCTGTGTTAAGAGATTGTTGTATCGAATTAGGAATTTCTCCTGAGGATGTGGAAAGAACCGCCTCGTCTTCTAATCAAGCAGATTATTTTATCGAACCTTTCATCAAATGTCAACAACTATCTGATGAAATTGCGAAAAACTATAAACGAGTATCTTCATTTCCTAAAGAACTGAACACCAGATTTTTCCTGGCCATTGTTCCTCACCTCATTCAAGACATCAAGGAAATTTTCGTTGACCGTGATAGGTTAGTGCCGCAAAATGGCTTGAAGGGTCTTCCTGAGAAAGATATCAATCAATTTTTGTCAAGCGTTTCGAATGCCCAACAGTACAGCAGATTCAAAGAACTTGTGTATGTGGAGTGCCAAATTCTTGAGAAGTTGTGCCTTGAGAATCGCAACCAGACGTCAGCCGCTGAAATTACGAAGTGGAGCGAACGTCTAGCCATTGACCAAATGCTTAATTTTCTAGCAAGGTTTTTCCAGGACTGCGAGGCCGACATTAAGCTGTGTAAGAGATTAGACCTTTTTTGTTGCCGCCTACGAGACACATTGTTAACCGATGACAAGGGGGTAGACGAAGATTTCATGCAAGATTTTTCCAACGTAATAAGAGAGCTACTTGATTTCGCCAAGTTTGATCCATCGAAACTGGTGAGATTTGAACTGGTTGATTCGAAAAACTCCCCATTGTCTTGTAACTCGTCTGATGTTGACAACGTGGAGCACGACGAGTATGACGGCACATACTCTCAAAGGTTCATTATCAAGAAAGAATCGGAGGATGAGCTTCAACTGGGTGCGGCTGCATGTGTGCACATTGATGGGTCAATTTGCAAGAAAGGAGCATTCCAGTCAGTTATTATGCTGAATCAATCTGGCATGGATGCATTTAACAGATGCATGAGTCGCTTCGCTACAGCTGACATTGCGGTAATGAAAATGGAAGCCAAAAACACGCATTCGGGAAATCTTCAAATAGTTCTGTATGCTTCACAAAAGGAGAAGCTATCAGAATTGATACAGATCTTCAAACGAGAACTGAGTGAAGACAAGGTGGACTTGAGCCACTCTGAGGTCTCTCAGTGTTACCTTTCAATGCGTTGTATTGACTTCACCAAAGAAAAGGTCCTAAGACTCCGTCTAGTGTACAAATGGGGTTCGGAAGCTGTTGCTCTGGACAGTAATGACTTTGTGACCTTTTCCGATTACTCAGCTGGCGGCGCTTGTTTACCAGTAGTAAAAAGTTTTGGTGGTAAGTTTGATTCATTGTTTATTGTTTGTGTCTGTTTATCCCACCCTATTAAAGTTTAATCAATCCTTTGCTTTGCTACGTCCCACGGTCAATTTTTAAACAAATTTTCGATACTATTATACAATGTAATCAGTGTCTATCCGTCTTACTGGCTTGGGGCCTACAGTTAATTCTGAATATCAGTGCACCCTTCAGTTAATTCAGTTATCCACTACTACGTATACATAACTGAATAATCTAATGAAAAGGCCAGCGCAACGCATGATTTCCAAAAATAATACCAAGTACACGTTTGGCGAGTGACACTTAATATTACTCGGTGCTTTTTCGTTCGGGGATTCTTCTGTTTCCAATAAACTCCTTACGAAAGCTGTATCTTTCTTGCAAGCTTTTGAAGGGCCCTAGCGTGCATCCTTGAAGACAACGTGCAAGAGAGGGCTTGATGGTGGGATAGAGGGCAATGGTAACGCCCGAATATTTTTCAACTTCTTGCTTAAATTGTGTATCCTATCTTAGAAAAATGTTAAAAGAGCCTTCCTCGTGGGAGCGTTCGTTATAACAGTCATAAGAAGGAACGCGAAACGCGACAAATGCTCGAAGAAGGGAGGTATAAGAAGACAGGAAGGGAAAGAGGGGGGAACAGTTTATGGAATCGCCTTATCTTCTAACTTGTGATGAAAACATTTCTTTCACTCAGGTTTGGACAACTCACTCATGTCTGAAGATTTGGAAGCGCTCTCACTGACGTCTGTTGGTGGCAAATTTCCCTCGACTTCTTTTGATCAGTTACAGAAACACGGCAGTGCGCAGTGCGGCAAAATCGGTAACGAAAACTAAAGTGCTTTTCTTCAGTTCTGTAGATTTCCTCATAACTCTCAAACCAACGTCGGACGTCTAGTACTAACTTCAGAGTACAGTTGAACCTGTTTCCTCCGAATAGAGGTGTCCAATGTTCTCTGAACTTAGTACTAAAAGACGTTCGTTTTAGAGTTATGGGTTAAGGTTTGTTAATAATTAACCAATTCTTTTATTCTGCCTCGGAATCTGTTGCAGTAGTTATTTCTACCGGCTAGATAATATATAAAAAGTCATGATTAACTTATCTCTGCGATGTTGTGTGTTGGGTTCCCAAAAGTGCAGTAAATCGGTTTGAGTGAGATAATTCATGTTTTGAAAGTACTCACCGCCCATTGTGACTAGTGAACACTTAACTGACTTATCAGCGATTTTTGTGGTCAGTCACTTTTTAAATGCTATAATGTGTTCCCTGAATAAGGTTAAGCCCGGATTTGGGACCTAGAAAAAGTGTCCCGTGTTCCTTCAATAGCGGTAACAAATACGAAGATTATGCGAGCATTTTTCCTGGAACAATAATAATACTAATAACACTTTTAAACAGGCTCTAAACTATTTAAAAAATACTTTTAAAACCTTTAGGGAGAAATATATAGATATTTTCAGAGAGATCCTGATGGCATGCCTTTCTACACCATTAGTCTTCCTACAAGTACTTTTTTTTCATCAGCTGGTAAAAATTTATAGTAGTTTCTCACAACGTGAGGATAAGTATTTCCGTCACGCGAATGAAAGAAGCTAATTGTTTCATGATAAAAAATTTCAGTTGCGTGGGTTATCACAAGGAGTTTTATCGGTTACGAAATTAATGATTTCTAGAAGGTGGTGGGATATATGTTAAAAATATGTGATGAATCTTGTTTCAGAGTATCACTTACATCAGACATTTAACCAAGTTACAAGCCCGCAGACTTGTGTGATAGGCAACCAAGCTACTGTGAATGATCAGATGCCACACCAAAGGTAAATATCGCCTGGAGCTAAATACAAAGGCAGTAGTCAGTAGTATTCTGATACTCTTTTTGTCGGTATGAGCTGTAATAAACGATTAAGCGCGTGGCGCTTATGTAACCAACTTGAGTTGCCTATGATTGCAAAGAGTATCTCAGCTTTTTGCCAAATTGACACTTAGAGACGAATTATGCGACAGGTGCCCGCGCAAGATTCAGGATTTACCCCTGGGACCGGCAATATTACTCCAAATTGAATTTCACCCTTAGCTTTAATACCGTCAGTACTACATTTTAAGGACAGGCTAATTGATGATCAGAGTCAGTATCGACCAGCTATTTAGCTGTTGGGTCAAATATTGCTCTTGTCAAGACATCCTTGTTTTATTCCCTTTCCTCTCCTTTTCCTTTTAACAGATCATTGTTGTGTATTTGGACTTTACGTTTTTCTTACGATCGTTTATGTTTTGCCAAATGTTGATGCATGTATTTTTTTAAAAGGCGGTAACTGACATTGTCGTTGACCAATGTTTTGGTCTCTTTTACTTCAGTTTTACTGTACGAGGCGCGTTGACCACTATTAAATTACGTTTAAATGCACTGAGTGAGCTCTTTGGCTAAAAACAAAATGACGCTCGTAATTGGTTCCGGTTATTTTTCCCGGTTACATTAACATTTTGTTATAAATTATTTCTTGCCTTTGCTCTCGTTTCACTGTAGACGTTCAGTGAAAAGGACTCATCTTCGTGCGGGGCGCGGCTGAAGGCAGCGTCTGCTGTCATTAGAGACTAGACGTTGGCGAACCAGATAAAGGGGTGTCGATCGTATCAAATAGAGGCCCCTAAGAGTGGCAGGGTCTTGCTAAAAGTTACCATAACCGCGATCAAACGTGACAAATTTACAAAAGCTTAGAAAAGTACTTTAAAACTAAAGTTGTAAATTTCAATTCGCTGGAAATTTACTAACATTTTTGAGGGTTTCCTCGAAACGATCAAAGTGTGTGAAAACTGATCTGGCTTTTCAGTTGGTCAACACGTCACAATTTTACTCCGGCAAGAAGCGTTTTCAACGAAAAGAAGCTCATTGTATTGAGAAAAATGCAAGGATAGTTAAAACAACTCATTCTTTTAGACATTCTTGGATGCGCTTTTTTTCACCTAGTGTTAAACAAAATCACATGAAAAAGAAAAGCGCCTTGGACCTTTGACCGCGGTGGACGGATACCATACTTGGCTAGGAACGGACAGTGAAAAAAGCGAACTTAAACATGGAAACGTTGGACCGAAGTCAACTTTAACAGAGTTCTCTGAGATATATCGCTGAAACCTTATCTGAAACGGTTGTTTAAAAGACTGGTGGACGAATTTTTTTTAAGACTTCTGCTTGTTGTTTTAAGGTGATGGTCATATAGTGAATCAAAGTTCTAGCGTAATTTACACGAAAACCTTGAAGGGTACTCATAGATCACTATTTTTAGTTTGACTAGCGTTTTGTCTTGTATCTTCTGTTTGTCCTTTAGAGCTCTCCCGGAGGTTTTGAACTGCTCTCCTACGAGATCCATTACTGAAGGAAGGAGATCCTTACCAGAAGTTGAAGATTCCAAAGATAGATCATGAACTGGAAAATACAAGTCATGCCCGGCCCTGTTCGTATGATCAGCAAAGTAGCTAGTACGTTTAGCTCTAGTGCCTTTTTTATCAACAAGCCGTTTTGCCTTAAGGCATACATGTGGAATAGCATTACCCGATATTTTCTATAACCATGTTTATATAGAACTGAACTATTTAATTAAGAAATTAAAGGAAAAAGTTCTTGCTTTCTTCGGTCTGAAACTAGCCTGTGCAGTTGGCGGTTTTGTGTGGCGAGCACCTAAATGAGCGGCGTAAGCGTACTTCGTGAGCGCGAACAAGCGGCCGATCGCTTCCGTTCCCTCCATTGGATCTCCCCCATAAATCTGCTTACTGCGCAGGCTATGAGTAGAAAGTGGAATAGTTGTCATAATAACAAGGTTATCATCTTTGCTGGAATAGATGTTGAAACTTCTAAGGCCTTTCTTCTTAAGGCTGTGTAAAAATTACTGGATTACGCTCCGTACCAGAATGATTGTTTTTCACTAAATCATTTGAAAACGCGAAAAACGAGGCTGGAAGTCTCAGTGGCGTTTTCGAACCTTGTACGCGTGACATATTTTATCCTAGAAATTTTGAGAACTGGCTCCTGGAACCAGGAAATCACTTGATTTAATCGATAATATGAATATTGCCTTCACTACATTCGTTCTCATCATTATAGTTATAACTTAGGTGAATATACTGAAATTATGTCTCTCTTTTTTACATGTATAAATTGTATCTGTTTTTTACGTTTAAAGAAGTTAGAAAGCTTGCTCTTGTAAATCGAATTTGATGGTTGTCTTTCAGCTGACGTAATATTAACATTAGGTTGAAACGTTTCAATTTTTAACGGCGTTAAGGTTTAAAACTCGATTGCCAACAGTTGCAGACCCTGTTTTATTATCGTTCTGAATATGAAAGAATGTTGCATATATATCTATGGATAAAAATATCATCGTAATTGACTTAGACGAACAAAAACAGATGTTGGTATAGAAAGACATTTACTACTTGTTTAACCTCTTCATAGATCTCCTATTTCATGTTCTGTAAAAAGATTGTTTGCTCAGTAACTCGGAAGGATAAAAAAGGCGATCGCGATCAAAAGCGTGAAAGGGACAAGTTGAAAATTTATCAACTGAATATTTTATTAGTACATTTTGGTTAGTAGTGGTCAACTTTGTAATTTTATTTAATTTATAGCTTCCAAATTTTTTAACATCATGAAATTTGGGGCACGACCTTGTAAGTTTCAAGCTTTAAATTGTACGGTGTAAGAAAAAGAAAAACGTTGTGAACTAACTTCGACAAAAATGGAGGAGCCCCTAACCAATTTCGCCCACAACCGCCCGTAAACGCTCATGTATATCGGCTAATCCACGTCCCTTCTGCCGCTTGTGACGCTTTTATTTATAAAGCGCAAGGACAACTTTGTCATCGAACATGTACAGGCGGAAGAGATCTTTCAAAGCGTCTAATGATAGTCATGCACGATTCAGTCAAGAAGGCAGGCGACCCGAAGAATTCCGAAGAAAATCTTGTTCCACTACCCACCTGCACTTAATTCCTTGTATTTAATCCGGCCTACGATCCTAAAAGCTTTCCCAAAAACTTTTCCCACCGAAATGAAGCATAGCAAATGTCCAGCGAAAAAAAAAGCAAGGGGCGAGAAAAACAAAACAGATGGAAGAGAGAAAGTGAAAGGTTATTAATAGTCACGAAAGTTTGCTTGCTGCGCACGTTCAAACTGCGGAGGCTGATATTTGGCATCTGGAACAGAAGGTACTAGAAGGTCGTAAAGTGCTCGACCTATAAACGGCGTTTTGATCATTTTGGCTCTGCAAAATGGTTCGTCTAGCTTTCAAATGCGTTTTTGGAGCAAACTTCCCGGGAGCGAATGGGTTTCACTTACGAAGCAGCTTTAAATTGAAACAGAACACAAGCCTTCTCTCATTCCTCTAAACTAATTAAAGGCACCATCTCGAGGCTTGTGTCAACCAAATATGGTGATTTGCACGATACCAGGTACTATACTATCTACCCAAGCCTTGACCTAAGTTTTATTGTTTCATCTTCCTGAAATAAAAGCAAAAAAAATCTACCAAGAGTTTTCAAGCACCCTTTCAGTGTGTTAACCCTTTAAACCCTAAGATTAAAATTCTCATCTGATTTGTAACCCCTATTCATTTACTCTAGAAGTACTGGGGAGAAGTTGATAAAATATCATGCAAATCCACCTTGAGTGATCATGTCCTTAATTCTCATGACCACTCTATTTTAAAACGCATTGATTTTACCTTGGAGAAATTTGATGCTGATCACTTAGGGTTTAAGGGGTTAAAACTATCTGTTTTACTCTATCCGTCTAGATTAGCCCTACTGTTTGCGGGTCGAGAGCAGTGTTAAAAATACTGAAATAAACTTGAAACTTAAAACTTGAACGCTTTTTAAGAACGTCTTGTTTCACACGGGCAGAAAATCGCAGAACAAATCGCACGAGAAATGGCCATTGTAAACGCACTTTCAAGATTTCAATGGCCGTTTCAAGTACAATCATCATTGTGTATACTCACTTTCACTCCTCCACAGTTATTTTGTGGGTGGGAGGTGGAGAGAGAGTGGGTAGCAAGGCTCCCCTAGTCGCTTCCCTACCACTGACTAAAGAAGAAAAAAGACAAAAGAAGCAAATCACAAGAAGTCTCACAAGAGGAGGCCTGGTACCCCAGCATTATTGCTTTGGACCCTGGAAACAAGAAAACATGAACCCAAAATCAATATGGCAGAAAAGTTGGATGATGTTATTGCAAAATTAAGACAACGTGGGAAAAAAGGATCAACCCCCGAAACTCCTGTGCTACAATATACTGTAAAGAATGTCCCTGTTTTTGTCCTTGTTTTTCTCTAGGCTGTTAGTATGCTCATTTTTCAGATTAAAAGAATTATTTAAAAGTGAAAAATGGTTTAACAACCTCGTTATTTGGGTGGGTTGGACGATACTAAACGAAAAAAAAAAAAAGAGAGAGAGAGAGGATGCCTTAGGTTTAATCAAACAAGTGAGTTAGCTCAGACTGCGTGAGTTATAAACTGCTCAAGGACAATATGTTTAGTTAAGAAATTTATTGCTTTTAAGTAATTCCACAGAGAAAAGTTGTCCACAGAGAAACTTTGCAAACAATTCATGTTTTCAATTTCCCATAAAGAACAGTTTTTAAAGTTAAAAGAGAGTGCGAGGGGAATTTTCACAACACGCCCCAGTTTTTCAAAAGCTGGCCGGATAACGCTATCCACTGGATGGATACATCACTATCCAGCGGATAACGCAATTGGTTTCCCTAACACTTATCCTCTGGATAGTGATTTATCCGGCCGGTGGATAGCGCTATCCAACGTTTGAAGAACTGGAGCGAGGTCTATATCTTCCTCCAGACTCGGCCACGTACATAAGTTTTTACTTGAAACAACTTTTTCTAACGTTTGCAAATCAGGTATTCCGCATTGGCCTTCCGTATATGTAGTATAACCTTCAAAAGCTCGTTTCTAAATCTCGTACTCAAACCACTCACCGTGAGTTGCCATTGTAAGGAGAGTAGGCTGGCACCGAGCCTCACCTTCAGACATTTCTTAGCGGTGCGTCACACGTTCCTTCCCCTACCTGGCACCGAGCGGGAACTACTTGGTGTAAGACTGCCCAAAATGTCCCGAGCCACTGCCCACTACTGTTAGTGCTGTAGTAGCTAGTAGTAATAGCTGCAGTAGCTGTAGTATCTGTAGTACCTGTAGAAGCTGTAGTATCTATAGTATCTGTAGTACCCATAGTAGCTGTAGTACCTGTAGTAGGCGTAGTTGCTGTAGTAGGTGTATTAGGTGTAGTAGCTGTAGTAGCTGTAATAGCTGTAGTAGGTGTAGTAAGTGTAGTAGCTGTAGTAGCTGTAGTAGATGTAGTATCTGTAGTAGCTGTAGCAGGTGTAGTACCTGTAGTGCCTGTAGTAGCTGTAGTAGGTGTAGTATTGTAGAAGCTGTAGTATCTGCAGTAGCTGTAGTAGCAAGTAATAGTAATAAATTGCTTTATTTGCATGACCGCATCATTTTACAGTATTGCAAAAGCATGTATATGACAATCAAAATATAAAACAAAACAGCACTAATAATAATCTAGAAAAATTCGGTTACATTACTAACAATGACTCACGTATTTTCATGCAGGAGGAAACAAACTTCATAACTAACTTATTTACATGATGTTCCTTCGAATTCATTATCAGTTTTATGCTTTCTGGAGATGATTTCTTGTCAAAGTCAGGTATTATTCGATTGATTTGATTAATAAATGCCTGTCTCTGTACTGTAGTAGCTGTAGTAGGTGTAGTAAGTGTAGTAGCTGTAGTAGCTGTAGCAGCTGTAGTAGATGTAGTATCTGTAGTATCTGTAGTAGCTGTAGTAGCTGTGGTAGCTGTAGTAGCTGTAGTAGGTGTAGTAAATGTAGTAGGTGTAGCAGCTGTAGTAGGTCTAGTATCTGTAGTCGGCGTAGTACCTGTAGAAGGTGTAGTACCTGTAGTAGGTGTAGTACCTGTAGTGCCTGTAGTATCTGTAGTAGCTGTAGTATCCGGCAGTAGCTGTAGTAGGTGTAGTAGCTGTAGTGGGTGTAGTAGCTGTAGTAGGTGTAGTATCTGTAGTCGGCGTAGTACCTGTAGAAGGTGTAGTACCTGTAGCAGGTGTAGTACCTGTAGTGCCTGTAGTAGCTGTAGTAGCTGTAGTAGCTGTAGTAGGTGTAGTATTGTAGTATCTGTAGTAGGTGTAGTAGCTGTAGTAACTGTAGTATCTGTAGTAGGTGTAGTACTTGTAGTATCTTTAGTTGGTGTAGTATCTGTAGTACCTGTGGTAGCTGTAGTAACTGTAGTATCTGTAGTATCTGTAGTAGCTGTAGTACCTGTAGTAGGCGTAGTTGCTGTAGTAGGTGTATCAGGTGTAGTAGCTGTAGTAGCTGTAATAGCTGTAGTAGGTTT